TTTTTTCTGCTGCTTCCACTCCTGTGTGCCTTCTGATAAGCCTGCTTGATGGTTTTGCTGTAAATAGTTCTGTGCTGTCACCTGTAGGTCGTGATGGGCCAGACCATCTCTCTGGTTCCTCCGAAACTCCTGATTACCTGGAGAGGCCATTTGGATAGCGTGACCGACATCCTGTATGTGGACGGCTTCCAGGTGGTCATCAGTGCTGGCCAGGACCGGAACGTCAAGACGTGGAAACTCTCCGGTGATGCCATTGGTATGAGTCCCGCTGAAGCTCAGCTGTGCCCATGGCCCTTCTTGTCCCTATTAGGACATAAGCTGATGTGAACCTTGTGCCCTGTGGGGAAGGGGTTTTGAACCACGGCAGCTCTTTGCTCCAATAGTATATAGGATGTGAACCTGCCCAGTCATGCGTTCTACAGTCTGTCCATCCGTCCACCCAGAGTATACCTCATGTATACTTAGAATCATGTGTCTATTAAGGCACACTCCTTTACGTTTTAAAAAATAAACCTAATTGTATTCTAACACACATAAATAAAAGTACACACACCAGAAAGTAAACTTGTATGCTATAAGGCATATCAAAGAACAGAAGCCAGCACTCTGGGGGCTACCCTCACACCCTTACTGTGGCAGTCCATCCTGATTGTGTGTGTGTTTGGAACTTTGTGTGAATGGAGTCATGCAGTCAGTTCTCCTTTGTGTCTGGCTTCTTTCTCTGAATGTTATTGCACTGTTGTGAAATCCATCCTTTTGTTGAGTGTAGTAGTTCACTCATTCTTATTGCTGAATACTATTCTCTTGAGGTACTATGATTGGTTTATCCATGCTACTGTTGGTTGACATTGGGATTGTTTCCAGCTATTTTGAGTTATTAAAATGCTGCTATGAATCCTCAAACAGTACTTTATACTTTGTGTGTCTGTGTGGGTGCAAACTGTTGAAATCTTTACTCAGTATAGAGTTGATCTTCTATATATATAAAGATAATTAAAAATGAATCAATGAAGAATGGGATGGGAGAGGGAGGAGGAGATGGGATGGTTTATGGGTGGGAGGGAGGTGATGGGGGGAAGAACCGCTATAATCCAAGAGTTGTACTTTTGAAATTTGTATTTATTAAATAAAAGTTTCTATTTAAAAAAAGGGAATAATGCTGCTATGAACATTCTTACTCATTTTTTGGATGGTGAAAATGTAGGAATGGAATTGCTAACCATAGGATATAGATGAGGATACTTCAAAAAGTGTGGAAGGGGCTGGTGCTGTCGCACAGTGGGGAAAGCTGCCACCTGTGACACCAGCATCCCGTACGGGCACCAGTTTGAGTCCCGGTTGCTCCATTTCCAATCCAGCTCCCTGCTAGTGTGCCTGGGAAAGCAGCAGAAGTTGGCCCAGGTCCTTGTACCTGCATGGGAGACCTGATAGAAGCTCCTGGTTTCAGACCAGCCTAATCCCAGCTGTTGTGGCCGTTTGGGGAGTGAACTAGCTGATGGAAGTGCTCTCTGTCTCTCCCTCCCTCCCCCCGACCCCGTAAACTCTGTCTTTCAAATAAATAAATCTTAAAATAACTACAAAAGTATGTGGAAAATTGAAATTAAAGATAAGGTTTTTTTGGGTGCAAAAAATTTGAAATTCTTATGTAGTTCTTTTATAATGCTTATTTTCAGTGAATTTTTTTTTTCTTTTTGACAGAGTGGCACACTGTGTGAGAGACAGACAGAGAGAAAGGTCTTCTTTTTCCGTTGGTTCACCCCCCAATGGCTGTTGTGGCTGGCACACCGCACTGATCCAAAGCCAGGAGCCAGGTGCTTCTCCTGGTCTCCCATGCCAGTGCAGGGCCCAAGCACTTGGGTCATCATCCACTGCACTCCCGGGCCACAGCAGAGAGCTGGCCTGGAAGAGGGGCAATCGGGACAGAATCCAGTGCCCCGACCGGGACTAGAACCCAGGGTGCTGGCGCTGCAGGCAGAGGATTAGCCTAGTGAGCCGCGGCGCCAACCTTCAGTGAACTTATTGAAGACCCTCATAGACAGTCAGTCCCAGCTGATAATGCCAAATAGTTTTTCAAAGTGATGCCAGTTTGCATTCTGTATTAGCTGTGTACAAGAAGTCTCATTATTTTATATTTTTGCCAGCACTTGTTTTTGGTCAATGCTTTAAGCTTAAACCATTTTGATGGGTATTTAATGGAGTCTTATTGTGGTTTTACTTTGAATTTCTTTGACTAATGAGGTTGATCGCTTATTGATTGATTGCTCACTTGATACCCTGCTCAGCTATCGAGCTGTTGTCTTTTGGATTTGTAGGGGTTTTAGTACTTTCCAGGTATGAGTCTTTTGACAGTGGTCTTTTATAGATATTTCCTTCCATTTTATGACTTGCTTGCTTTTAAATCTCAGTAGTATCTTTTGATGAACAAAAGTTCTTAATTTTAAAGCAATCCATTTTTATCAGTCTCACTCTTTATGGTTTAATGCTTTTTAAAAATATTTTTTCAAAAATATCTTTTATTGTGGTAAAAAACAAATAATGGGGCCGGCGCTGTAGCACAGCAGGTTAAGCTGCCATCTGCAGTGCCAGCATCCCATATGGGCGCCTGTTCGAGTCCCAGCTGCTCCACTTCTGATCCAGCTCCCTGCTAATGTGCCTGGGAAAGCAGAAGAAAATGTTCCAGGTCCTTGGGCTCCTGTCAGCCACGTGGGAGACGGATGAAGCTCCTGGCTCCTGGCTTTGGCCTGGCCCAGCCCTAGCTGTTGCGGCCATTTGGGGAGTGAACCAGCACTCTCTGTAACTCTGACTTTCATATAAATAAATCTTTAAAAAAAAAGTGAAATCTACCCTTTTAAGTTTTCAAGTATATGATATTGTTAACTGTATACTTTGTTTTCGTTACTTTTGAAAGACAGACACAGAGACGGTGAGGAGGGGTGGGGGCATTTCTTCCCTCTGCTGCTTCGCTCCCCGAATATACACAGGAGCCAGGATGGGTCTTCCACATGGGTGACAAGAACCAAGTACTCGGGCCATCCTCCACTGCCTCTGAAGCACAGTAGCAGGGAGTGGGTCCCTCTCCTGGTCTCTCCTTCCTGACTCTATGTCTCCCCCCTCTCTCCTTCCCTCTCTCTCTTGTCCTTTTTCTCTTCCTCCTACCCCTCCTCCTCTCTGGCCTATTGATTTTTTTTTTATTTGACAGAGTTAGTGAGAGAGAGACAGAGAGAAAGGTCTTCCTTCCGTTAGTTCACCCCCCAAATGGCCACTATGGCCGGTGCTTCACTGATCCAAAGCCAGGAGCCGGGTGCCTCCTCCTGGTCTCCCATGCGGGTGCAGGGCCCAAGCACCTGGGCCATCCTCCACTGCCTTCCTGGGCCACAGCAGAGAGCTGGACTGGAAGAGCAACCGGGACTAGAACCCGGCGCCCATGTGGGATGCCGGCGCCACAGGCAGAGGATTAACCAAGTGAGCCCCTGGCTTATTGATTCTTGTGTGTTTAACCATTCTTTGTGCTGGACCCAGGGATAAATGCCGCTTGGTCGTGAAGTTCGACCTTTCTTGGTGGGTGCTGTTGAACTTGGTCTGCTAGCATTCTGCTGAGGCTGTTTGCATCTCTCCTTCTCAGGGACATTGGCTGTGGTTCTTGGCAGTGTTTCCGCCTGGATTTGGTGTCAGGGTGACTGTGGCCTCCTTTCAGGAGCTCGTTATCTTTGCTGCCCCTGGTGTCTGCTGTATGCAGGCTTCGGGGGAGCTGCAGGGGGCTGCAGGGGGCTGCCCTAGAAAACCAGAAGGTTGAGCGCATGCCCCGCTGTTCGTCGCCCCCCCCCCCCCCCCCAGCTGCTCTGCCTGCCGCACCGCAGGTCCTGGGAGGCAGTAGCAGGCCGCCCAGCTCCCTTGTATTCCCTGGGGTCCCCCAGGCTTCAGCAGCCTGCCCTGGAACTGTATGTTTGAAAATGTCCTCGATGCACTTTTTTCTTGGATGGTAGTTTAGGCGGATATAGCATCCTCAGCTGACAGCGATTCTTCTAGTGCATTCTGGACCCTCTTATGTAAAACAAGTCTGTGGTCCCTCTCCTTGTCATTCCTTTGGCAGTAAGCAGCCTTTTTCAATTTGTAGTTTTTCAGATTTATCTATTTATTTTGGATGTTTTGCATTTTGACTGTAGTTTGCCTAAGAATGTACTAATCTTTCTGTCACCCAGTGTGACGTTTAAAACTTAAGCCTTTTAAACCTTCAGTTCAGCAACATTCTCAGCCATTATTTCTAAATAACATCCTTTCTGGGGCTGTTAGTAGATATGTATCTAAGGAGTATTTTTAAAAATCTCATCTCAGCTTATCTCGTATTCTCTGTTCTGTATTGAACTCTTGGCTGTGTTTGGGATGATACTAGATGTTTTACAATTTATTATCTCTTTAGGAAATTTGGCCACTATTGAGTTTTGTGTTTTGTTGTTTTAATCGCCAACTTGTGACTGGTGCTAGGGCGCAGCGGGTTAAGCTGCTGCCCGCAGTGCCGGCATCCCATATGTGTACCGGTTCGAGTCTCAGCTGCTCCACTTCCAATCCAATCACCTGCTAATGCACCTGGGAAAGCAGTGTAAGATGGCCCAAGTCCTTGGGCTTCTGTACCCACGTGGGAGACCTGGATGAAGCTCCTGGCTTCTGCGTGGCCTAGGCCCTGGCCAATGTAGCCATTTGGGGAGTGAACCAGTGGATAGAATCAATCAATCAATCTCTCTCTCTCTCTCTCTCTCTCTCTCTGTGTAATTCTGCCTTTCAAATAAGTAAATCTTTTTAAAACAATTGCCGACTTAGCAGTTATATATATATATATATTTAAAGATTTATTTATTTATGGGAAAAGCAGAGTTAGAGATCTTCGATTTGCTGCCTTATCCCCCAAATGGCTGCAATGGCTGGAACTGGGCCACGCTGAAGCCAGGAGCTTGGAACTCCAACCAGGTCTCCCATGTGCGTGACAGCGACCCAAGTACTTGGGCCATGTTCTGCTGCTTTCCCAGGTGCATTAGCAGGGAGCTGGATCAGAAGTAGAGCAGCTGGGACTTGGCTGTGTTGCTCTTTGGGGATGCTGGTGTTGCAGGAGGTGGTTTAATCCACTGTGCACAGTGCTGGCCCCGTTTAGCGGCTTTATTAGGAGGTCAGATGTGTACTAGGACTTCACCCACTTTCTATGTGTACAGCTGGATGTAGTTTGCCCCTAAGCTGTATCTCTGATCTTGTTCCCCACGGGCTTTGTGGGAAGCTTTGTGTTCCCCACGGGCTAGTTCTGCCATGGTTTTGGGCTCCCTTTTCACTTCCAGAAGATTTGATTTCCTCACTTTGGACATGTGTTTTCATAGTTATTGTGTCCGTATATTGAGAATGAAGTGGGGACTGGGTAGATTCATATGTTTATCTAGTCATCTATGTTTTGTTTTGTTTTTAAAGATTTATTTTTTCATTTGAAAGGCAGAGATATGGAGAAACAGAGATCTTCCATCCACTGGTTCACTCCCCAAATGGCTGCAACGTTTGGAGCTGGGCCGATCAGAACCCAGGAGCTCAGAGCTTCCTCCGGGTCTCCCATGTGGGTGCAGGGGCCCAAGGACTTGGGCCATCCTCTACTGTTTTCCCAGGTGCATTAGCAGGGAGCTGGATCAGAAGTGGGACAGCTGAGACTCAAACCAGTGACCATGTGGGATGCTGGCTCTGCAGGCAGAGGCTTAACCTACTATGCCATAGCACCAGCCCCAAGTCTGTTGTCTTAAGTGGATCTATCTGTATTTTTCCATCATGAGAAAATGCCCCCATGGATAGGGGTCGTGGTCGACGCCCCATGAATGCTTGACACCTCCTTTTTCCTGGACTCGCATCCTCCCGTGAGCAGAGTGAAGATACCTATGTTCTTTGATGATCTTGGTTTTGCTTTGAAAGATGCAGTAGTTTTCTGCCAAGTGGAGATGGAGTCACGTGGCCTCTCCCACAGGCTGAGGCTGAACCACAGCTGGCTGCTGGAGTGGGGGAGGGGTGCGGGGTGGGGAGCAGGGGGAGCAGCCAGGTCTCAAACCAATGCCCGCATGGGATGCTAGCACTGCAGGCGTCGGCTTTACCCGCTACCCCACGGCACAAGCCCCTAATCCAATATTTTTAAAATGTTATCCTGCCTTTTTTCTTCCATTAGCCTTTTTTTTTTTTAAAGATTTATTTATTTGAAAGAAAGAATTACAAGAGGCAGAGACAAAAGAAAGGTCCTCCATCTGTTGGTTCACTCCCCAGATGGCTGCAACGTTTGGAGCTGGGCCGATCAGAACCCAGGAGCTCAGAGCTTCCTCCGGGTCTCCCGTGTGGGTGCAGGGACCCAAGGACTTGGGCCATCCTCTACTGCTTTCCCAGGCTATAGCAGAGAGCCGGATCGGAAGTGGCACAGTCAAGACTCAAACCAGCGCCCATATGGAATACTTCAGGCCAGGGCTTTAACTGCTGTGCTACAGCACTGGCCCTTCTATTAACCTTTTAATTGTATCTTTTATATCCTTTTTCATGACTCCCTTCGGGATTACATTAGCTCCTGACATAGCACTACTTCCTTTGCGGGGATCTTCCCACTCTGGCTTTTTGTGTTGTTACTGTGTTTTATTTCTGTGTGCCTTCTGCCTTCCTGAGAGACGCTGTTACTGCTTGTGCTTCCAGCAGTCACCTTGTTTTTATGTTCACCCACATCTTGGTGGTTTTGGGAGGTCTCTATTCCCAGAGTTGTAGCACTCCATCTGTGGTCATTTCCCTTCCATCTAAAGAACTTCTTGCACTTCTTACAATGTTATCTGTCACTGATAAATTCTCTAAACTCTTATTTACCTCAAAGCATCTTTATTTTGTCTTAAAAGTTGAGACACTGTACAGGGTATAGAACTGTCTGCCGGCAGTTCCTTTTCTTTCAGCACTTAGAAGAATCATTCGGGGCTGGGTCTCGGGCTTAGCAGTTGAGATGCCGCCTGGGACGCCTGCTTCCCCTATTAGAGCCTGGGCTCAAGTCCTGGCGTGCAGTTCCAGCACAGACTGGGGGCAGCAGATGGTGGCTTGAGTGATTGGATCCCTGTCACCCATGGGGAGGCCTGGATTGAGCTCCTGGCTTTGGCTTGGCCCAGCCCTGCTGTGGTAGACATCTGGGGAATGAACCAGCCGTGCTGTTTCTCTCTCTCTCCGCCTTTCAAATAAATAAACATTTGAAAAGTCATTCAGTTACTTTTGGGCTTCCATATTTTTGTTGCTTTTTTTTTAAAGATTTATTTTGTTTATTTATTTGAAAGTTATAGTTACACTGAGAGAGGTCTTCCATCTGCTGGTTTGCTCTCCAGATGGCCACAATAGCCAGGGCTGTGCCACCCTGAAGCCAGGAGCTTCCTCTGGGTCTCCCACATGGGTGCAGGGGCCCAAGGACTTGGGCCATCCCCTACTGCTTTCCCAGGCCACAGCAGAGAGCTGGATCAGAACTGGAGCAGCCGAGACTTGAACTGGTGCCCATATGGGATACTGGCACTGCAGGCAGAGGCTTTTACCGGCTACACCATAGCACTGGCCTGTTTTATTATTTTTTTTCTTTCTTTTTTCTTTTTCTTTTCTTTTCTTTTTTCTTTTTTTTCTTTTTCTTTTTTTTTTTTTTTGACAGGCAGAGTGGACAGTGAGAGAGAGAGACAGAGAGAAAGGTCTTCCTTTGCCATTGGTTCACCCTCCAATGGCCGCCGCGGCCGGTGTGCTGCGGCCGGCGCACCGCGCTGATCCGATGGCAGGAGCCAGGTACTTATCCTGGTCTCCCATGGGGTGCAGGGCCCAAGCACTTGGGCCATCCTCCACTGCACTCCCTGGCCACAGCAGAGAGCTGCCCTGGAGAGGGGCAACTGGGACAGAATCCGGTGCCCCGACCTGGACTAGAACCTGGTGTGCTGGCGCCGCAAGGCTGAGGATTAGTCTAGTGAGCCGCGGCACCGGCCTGTTTTATTATTTTTTAAAACATTCTTCGGCAGGAGAGTAGCCGACCACTCACCATACCTGGCTTGGAAACAAAACTCGCGTTTTTCTATTTGCACCTCCTCCTCCCCCCCCCCCCCCCCCGTTCCTCCCGTGACTCCAGGCCATTTCATAGGTGAGCTACTTGAAGCCCAGGTGAGGGCCATTCATCACTGAGTCCTCTTTCTGTCTGTCTGCACGTGGGGCGGGAGCACCAGGTGTATCCTAGTGCCTGCCTCCTCCTGACATTTGTTGAGCACCTAGCTTAATACCTGCTATACAGTGGGCGCTTAATATTAGGGCAGGGGTGTGGGCCGGGGCTCAGGGTCACTGACTCTTGAGGGCTGGGGCAGAGGCGTCATGCCAGTCTTTCCTGAGTGGGGTCTGTCACATCACAGGGACATTCGGCCTGAGTATGTGGAAGAGACTCCAGGATGCCACCATGGACAGGGATCAAGAGGCAGGAGCAGGCTCCGAGGGGAAGGCCGACTCCACGGGCGCCGCGGGCAGGGCCCCGCAGCCCGAGCTGCAGTGAGTCAGCCCAGCCCACCGCCTCAATGCCCTGCTCCCGGGTTGGGTAGTGCTGGGTGTGGGTGGGCAGAGAGCCCGGGCCCCCTGTGGTGCAGCTCAGCTGAGAGACTGAACGGTCGGAGTGGGAGAGGAGGCCCCCAGCAGTTGGATGGGCTCCACTTGGGAGGAGGCTCGGGGCTGTCGAGGTGGGCGCCTGGGTCCCTGCCCAGGGTTCAGCAGACACTGGTCTACCCGCTGCTTGTCTCCCCCAACTCTGGCCACTCCATCTTGATTCCTAGCCCGTGTCACATAATTTTGGTTCATCTAAAAAAAAAGCATTTATTGGGCTCCTGATTGCCAGGTGTGCTGGTTTCTAGAACCCCAAGACAACCCAGACCCAGGTCGCATCTCTGAGAACAGTCACCCAGGGAGGCGGACAGGTGGACTCCTGGCTGTGAGAGGGCTGGCTGGGAGGACGGGCTGCCTGACTGGATGGATCCAGGAAGGCTGACGTCACAGGAGAGGAGATTCTGGGGTGGGGTTGTGACGTGGAAAGGTGCTTATTGGGCACGCACAGAATCTCCATGGCTTGTGTGCTTACGTCAAGGAGGCTACACCTTATAGTCGTGTGTGTGTGTGTGTTTGTGTGTGTGTGTGTGTGTCGGGGCTGAGCCAGGGTCCCTGGGCTGGGGGGGAAGGCTGGGGAGGGCCAGAAGGGCATGCGCGTGTGGGAGGAGCGGTGGGACATCACCCTTCTCGGTGATGGCTGGAGGAGGAAGCCTTGGAAGGGGAGCCTCTCTGGCTCCTGGGAGAGCCACCTGCTTCCAGTGGGCGAGCAGCTCTTGAAGGATCACCCCTCGCAGCAGGGATCTTGCCGAGGTCCTGGGGTTCCAGCGGCGAGAGCAGGTGGTTCTTATGGACCTCCTGAGTTCGAGGGAGGATACGGAGGCCAAGGCATGGGCCAAGCTGCAGAGGATGGCCCAGGTGTCCCCGTGGACCCGAGAGCGCCCCCTGGGAGACATTGAGGACACCTGGAGCCAATGGGAATCTGAGGGCAAGCAGGTAAGGCTGGGGGGGGGCATGGGGAGGGGAGGAGGCCCCGGCTCTCTGCCTTCACTCTTGCCCATGACTTCTACAGGTGAGCAAGGTCTTGGGAGCAGCATATAAGCCCAAGGAGCGGCTGCGGAGCGCCAAGCAGCTCACCACCGTGGTGCAGTACGGCTGGATGAAGCACCAGGTGGGGGCCTGGGGCAGAGGCCGCGTGACCCTGTGTGGGGAGGAGGTGCTCCTCGGGCTGGCAGGCAGGTGTCGCTGCTGTCCGTGGCTGTGCATCTGCACATCCGGGCATTTATCCTCAGGAGCAGCCCTGTGCCCTAGGGCCAGGCACCCCAGAGGGCTATCGTGATGGGGGTGTGGCTCTCTGGGGGCAGGAAGGAGAGGGGTGTTGGCGAGGGCCAGAGGTGAACCCCATTCTCCCTCTTGCCTGGGCAGGGCACCCCTTTTCCCCCGGGCTCCCTTGTCCCAGGCTGGGGGGTTAGTGGGGAGGGGTGACCCCGCACAGCCATCCGCCAGGCAGCCCTGAAGGCCCGCTGGTGACGTGATCGAGCGCTAGGAAGAGGACCGTCCACTGTGGGGAGGGCTGGGAGCCAGTCCAGGAGTCGCTGGACATAGTGCTGACTCACAGCTCTGGAGCCGCCTTCACACAGGAAGACCCCGGGCCCTTCCTTCCTTTGAGCCTGCTTTGGCCCTGGGCGCCCTCCACCTGACAGGTGCTCTCCGACCTGACGGGCGCCCGCCTTGCTCTCCTGTGCCCCCAGATCTCACCCCAGATCTACCAAAGCCTGCACTGCAGCGAGCTGATGCCCACTCAGCAGCCCGACTTCCTGCGGCACAAGGCCCTGGGCCAGCAGGTCCAGCACATCCGCTGGGTGGTACGCGAGGTCCCGCAGGACCTGGAGGCTGGCAGGGAGCGGCCCCTGCTGGACACCGTGACCAGCATGACCATCGCCACCTCCCCCTCCTCCTCCTCCTCGCCCTCCCTGCCATCCCTGCCAGCCTCCAGGTTGCCAGGCTCCGACTCCCCACGGAGCCCGTCCTCGGTGTCCTTGCTGCGGCCCTGGTCAGCCACCGCGGCCCAGAGACGCTCACGCCCGCAGCTCTTCCCCTGCGGCCACACCCCTGGCGTCTCTAAGCCATGTTTGTGTCCTCTGTGAAGAGGGGCCCCCTCCTTGTGCCTAAGGTGCCTCGCCCTGTCCCTGGTCCCCCAGCAGGGCAGCCAGGCCCCCGGGGTCCTGCACGGCCCTGGCCTACACCCGGGCGGGCCCAGAGGACATGGACCTTCCCGGCTGCCTCCCCCCGCATCCCGGCTGACCCGGGTCTATCTGCTCTCCGACCGGCCCCGCCAGAGTCTCGGAGAAGAAAATAAATGTTTTCAGGTGTGGGAGTTCCACGGGCATTGAAGTCGGGCTGCTGTGTGTTCCCCTTGCTCACAGGTCTCTGCCCTGGGTCTGAGACCAGTCACAACCCTGGCGGGTCCCAGGTAGATGCAGAGAGAAGCCCCTCCTCCCAGGAGCCCCGAAGCACAGCGGTCAGACTGAAGCCCAAGGGGGAGGGCTTTGCAGGCTCCCTCAAGCAGGGAGAGAGGTGATGTCACACCTGGGGGCGTGGTCACACCAGGGGCGTGGCCACAGGTGGCTCAGGTGCTGGGTTCATCCTTTAGGGACATTGGGACCCACAGCTGACCTGGCTGCTGGTGGCTGTGTGTGACCCCTGCCATCTGTCTTTTCACACCATCCGCTCCGCTCCAGGCCCCTGGTGCTTCCAAACTGCCCTGTTCCTTGTGCACGGAAGGCCGGGGAGGGAGGTGGATGCCACCACACCAGCCCTGCTGCCCTGTGGCGCTGCCTGTCTTGTCTCCTGCTTGTCACCAGCCCACAGCCCCTCCCGTGCCTGTGGGGACCCCTGGACACACCACCCACACCGCTGTTGTGCGTGGTGGTGCAGCGCCTTGGTGAGTGCGAGCCTGCCTGAGGTGGCGCAGGGGGAGGCAGGCCGCAGGCCTTGGGGGTCTCGGGGGTCCCTGCAGCTCCCCCTACTCAACCTCTGCCCAGCCCCAGGCTCAGCCCTGAGGGGCAAACATGTGGCTTCCCTCTCCACCTCGGGCTCCCTCTCACAGTCTGGGAGCCCTGTGTCACTCTGCCTCCTTGCTGCTATGGATAACTGTGATCTGAGCCGTCCCAGGCCTGGGTCTGGGGTGAAGGAGCCAGGCGTTACTGAGGCCAGAGTCCCCGTGCTGTCCCCAGCGTCACCTCTGTGTCCGTTCTCAGGTGGCTGAAGCAGAGCACCGGGAACAGCGTGGCAGGAAACAGTGGGGCTGGGAGTGGAGGTCGTGGGGCCGCGTGCGCTTCGGAGCCTGGCCTCTTCCCAGCTTCTGAAAGGCGCAGCCCTTGGTGTCCCGGGCTGTGGCGGCCGCGTCAGCCTGCCTCTGCGTCAGAGGTGCTTTCCCGGGGTGTCTGTGTGCCCGCCGTGCTCTCCTTTCTGGGCGCCCGCTCTTTGGACAGACACTGGCCTCGGACTGAGCGCCACCCCGCTCCAGAGTGACACCTGCACCCACCCTTTCCCGGATTTGGCCACGTTTGGAGGTGCTGGGGTTGGAACTGTGTCTTCCGGAGGACACAGTTCAACCCATAACCACCCCTAGCACTTAGATCCCCGTACAGGATGGGGAAAGCTGCGTGAGCCACAGGGGCCTGCAGTGCAGGAGACAGGGAGGGGTGAGTGTGCGGCTCGCAGGGCCAGGAGCAGGTGGCCAGGCCCGAGCCTCAGTCTTAGCCCCCGGGTGGCATCCCCGGCCTGCCGCCGCCTCCTGCCAGGCCCAGCGGCCGCACACCTGGCTGCAGAGAAAGAAGTATCTGGGTGCTTGGTGCCTCTGAGCCAACAGAGGGGCAGACTAAGAGGAGCCTGCCCTGTCTGGTGGCCGCGGCCCCACCTCCCCCAGAGCCTGGCCTCACGGCTCCTGGCGGTGGCTCTTCAAGATGAGCTTTGCCTCTGGCATGGCTGCGGGCTGCCAGCTGTGTGGCCCCTGCCCGGGCAGAGCCGGTGGAGCCTGGTTGGGACCAGCCATGCCTCTCCTGGCAGGCTGGCGGTGACAGCTGTGAGCCACAGGGCTCGCCCTCAGGCCGTGTGCAGTGCCCCCATGGGGCTGGTTCCATCTGTGTGCTCCAGGCTGTGCCCCCAGGCCTGTGGCGGCTCTGCGGGGATGGTCCCACCTGAGACTCCCAAGGGGCAAGCCCAAGAAGGGCCCCCTGGCTCGCTGCTCCCACCCCACCTTGGGCTGGGTTTGTTTTCTTAATGGAACTTGAGGCCCCGAGAGGACCTCATGGGGTCACAGAGCAAGTTAATAGCACAGGTGGTCCCAAGGCACCACCCCGTCCCTCCAGCCTGGTAACCAGTAGGCAGTCCCAGGAGCTGAGCGACACGTGACACGTGTTTATTTAGCGTCTGCACGACAACGCCACTCTCCTGTCAGACAGAGGCAGGTGTGGGGCCTCACCTGAGGCCATGGTGGGAGCCCCTCAGCCAGGCCAGGGGCCCTGGTTCCTAAGCCCCGCTGTGGACTCCTTGAGGGTGGAGGCAGGGCCGGGAGGGGGATGGGTAGGAGGATGCGGAGGGAGCAGTGCTCCTAGAAGGAGCCCGGACTCACTGGGTCTGTCAGTGAGTGGCTCCAGGAGGCCTGCATGGAGGTGTGGGCCTGGAGGGGGATGCAGTGCCTGCACTGGTTTCTTCATGCGGTGGCTGGTGACTTGCCAGCTCTGAGGCCGGAAGCTGCAGTCTGTCTCGCTGGGTGGGCACTGGGCTTGGTAGAGCTGGGTCCTCAGAGGCTCCGCGGAGAATCCGCTTCCTCGCCGGCCCAGCTCCCAGGGCGGCCTGAGCTGGAAACCTGACCTTGGCCGTGCCAGGTGAGCGTGCTCTGGGGATCGACCTCATCCTTCCACGCTCTGCCCCTGGCGAGCAGCGGGAGACCAATGCCCGGACGGAACCAAGGACCCGCGGATCTGGGCCTCGGCACAGCTCTCTCCAGTGTGACTCGAGTTCTCTGCCCTACATCTGAACCGCTCGGGTCCTTCCAGGCTTGGCGCCGTGGTCGCTGCACAGAGACACAGGAGACACAGATCTCCCAGGCCACCCTCCGACTTCTCGAGCCAGCTGGCCTCAGGCCAGCAGAGCCATCTTCTCCCGGGAGCCAGTCCGGGGCAGCAGGGAAGGTGGGCCGGAGAACAGTGCTGTGCGTCAGTGTCTTGGGTGTGAGTGCATCAGGCGCTGGCCCATGTGTGCCTGTGCGGAGCGGGGGGGGGGGGGCACTGGGATGAATTAGCTGGAGGCCCTTCCACCACGGGCACAGATGCCAACCCCAGTGTGGCACCAGAGGGTCTTTGGCCCTCCTTTGGGCCACCCCGGGCCTGTCCCCCGCTTGGGTCTGGCAACCCCTTAAGGCACATCCGGTTGCTGTGGGGCTTAAAGCTTAAGGAAGGCTGCCTTTCGTTAAGGAAGCAAGCACACAATAGCAGACACAAACACCAGGCCCAGGGCCTTGGCTGGGGCTCACGAGCTGGAGCTTAGGCTCCCTTAGCTCCTGCTAGTCCGGCCCAGCAGCCTTCGCTGTCCCGGCTTACACAGCTAGCCGTGGCGGGCGCTGGCTTCCTTGTGGCGAGCTGAGCAGGGCTCCCAGAGATGTGCTGGAAGTGTGGGACCTGTGCACGGGGCGAAGGCACTGCCTGCCCAGCCGCAGCCCTCCCCGAGCAACCTGCACGCTACGTCCCCCCACGGGGCCTCTGCTGTCTGCTCGGGCTCCTGCAGGGCCTGGGAGCTGGGGCTGTGCACCGCGGAGCAGCAACTGGGAGGACCCCTTCCCTGCCCTGTCCCCAGCCCCCACGAACTGTGGCAGGGACAAGGCCTCTCTGGACTCTTTTTGTTTTTATAATTTATTTGAAAGACACACACACATATGTTATGCCCAGCTCGTTGGATCCCCGTTGAGACCCCCAGAGAGTCGATCACACCAAAATACAAAAGCAAGGTTTATTGGACTTACAAGCTGCTGCAGGGGCCCCGTCCAACCGACTGAGGCAGCGGAGGGCAGAGGAAGGCCCGAGTCGTGCTCGGGAGCCTCTTTTAAAGCAGGGTTACGTCATCGAGGGGTGCGGGGTAACAGTGGACTGGCTAGGGTCACCTCTGGTTTTTCCTGATCGAACGCGGTTGTTCCTGATTGGTTCGGACCCAGGGGAGTTCCTTATATGGTGAACGCTAGGGAGCTGTGCTGTTGTAAGTTTCGGTTTCCCCAGAGTGCCGCTGCTTGTCCGGGAAGTCGGGAAGTCGGGCCTGCCTCCCCAAATGGAGGCACTTTTTTCAAAATGTAGTAGTTAATCTGGCCCTTCAATACACACACACACACACACACACACACACAGAGAATATGAGAGTGTGCAAGCGAATTGCCATCTTCTGGTTCTCTTCCCCAGATGGCCTCAACAGCCAGGGCTGGGCCAATCCCAAGCCAGGAGCCAGGAGCTTCCTCCGGGTCTCCACGTGGGTGCAGGGCCCAAGTGTACGGACCATCTTCTGCTTTCCCAGGCCAGAAGCAAGTGGATCAGAAAAGGAGCCAGAACATGAACTGGCTAAGCCCTGGGCGGAGGCTTAGCCTACTATGCCGCAGCACCGGTCCCTTCCATTTTTAATTTGTTTTTTTAAAGATTTATTTATTTATATGAAAGAGAGGCAGAGAGAGAGCGAGCTTCTATCTTCTGGTTCACTCCCTAAATGGCTGTAACAGCCAGAGCTGGGCTGATCTGAAGCCAGGAGCCAGGAGCTTCTTCCGGGTCTCCCACGTGGGTACAAGGGCTCAAGGACTTGGGCCATCATCTGCTGCTTTCCCAGGCCATCAGCAGGGAACTGGATCAGAAGTGGAGCAGCCAGAACTTGTGCCCACATGGGGTCCAGTGCTACAGGCAGCGGCCCCACCTGCTACACCACAGCGCAGGCCCCCTCTTTTTGATATTGGCAGTTTGTCTGGATTATTTAAGTCTGGATGGAAAGAGTTAAAGGTATGCATTTTCAGTTTTCCGTTAAATCTCCTGACGAAGCCAGTGGGGACGTCTGTGAGTGGTGCCAATGGCGCTCTGGGAGCAGCCCTGATGTTCTCTGGCCCTCTGTGGCGACACACGGGCAGCCCCAGGTCCGGCCCTCAGCACCGAGCGGCCATTTAATTACATCTGGGGGATCTGACTGCGTTTCCAGTTGCTTTTTATTTTTGGAGAACGAGTCTCATTTTCCCTTTATAAACACACTTATTTCATTAAAGATCAAAGTAAAGGTGGAATTTGCGATGCCACTTGGGATTCCTGCATCCTCCGGGTCAGAGGGCCCGGGTTCCAGGCCCAGCCCCACTGCTGGCTGCAGCCTCCTGCTGTGCACCACCAGGAGGCCCGGCGTGGTTCAGGTGTTTGGCGCCCTGTCCCTGGCTCTCAGGGGAGGCTCACTCGCCCTCCCTCCGCTGAGGTGTGTGGTGGGAGCAGCACGGCCCAGGGCCAGCGCTCCAGGCCGTGGACACAGGTGACTGCCAGCTCCAAGCTGGGTGGGGCAGTCCCTGCGAGCCCCTCCCTGCCTCGGCCCTCTCTCCATCACAGGCCGTGCACCCTGCAGCCCCACATGTGGCCCCCGGATGCACCCACGGTCTGGTGGGGAGGTGAATGGGCACAGCTCGGGCTGCCAGCCCCAGACCCGCCTCCTGGCTCTCTCCCCTCAACCAAACGTCCCTGCACGCCTTCTGGGAAAGGGGTCACCCGCCTTGGGGCACAGACTCCTCAGGGTGGAGAGTCCTTTCTGGTGCCACTCAGGGCTGGCTGGGGGCTCTGGGTCATTCTGTGGCTTAAGAGCACAGGCTTTGGCCTCTGGCTGCCCTGGGTTGCTGTGTGATGTGGGGCAGGTTACTGCCTCTCTCTCAGCTTCGTGGCCTTGTGTGCTGAGTGGGGGAAGCCCTGGCACCTCCGTCCTGGGGAGGAGACACAGGCAGGGGCTTCAGCACGTGGCATAGCTTTGTCTCCTCACTGCTGTGGTTACCAGGAGGCTGTGCGTGTCTCTGTGCCTCTCTCCCCAGGGACCCTGAGGGCCAGAGCTGGGCCCCTCCTCACTCCCTGGGGGACACTGAGGCTCGGAGGGGTTCTGATTCTCCTGCGTCGCCCTACCAGTGAGCAGAGTGGGCTTACCTGGGCCTGGCCTCCAGTGGGAAGCCGCCCCTCCAGCATCCAGCGCTGGGGAGCCCGGCCCATTCTCCTGGAACGTGTAGGGCCCCTCTGATGCTTCCTCCCCCACAATCACAGGTGTCAGCTCAGCTGGGTCCCATGTTCCCGCGTAACCTCCCGGGGTGAGCTCCAGCCTGGCCGCCCTGGGGTGGTGGGGCCTGAATGGTGCTCGGCAGGCGTCTAGCCCTTCCTGCCTGCGCCAGGGCGCCGCCAGGGGCAGCTTGAGGCAGCAGAGTCCTGAAGGAAGCTGCTTCCCGTTGGCACTGGTGGCACTCGATCCGGGTCTCCCACGTGGCTGGCAGGGACCCAGGTACTTGAGCCATCGGGTGCACCTTGGCGGGAGTAAGGCAGGGTCACCTGCCCTCCTGGTCACTTTTGTTGCTTCAGCCCAGGGCAAGGCCTGGGGCTCACAGCCTCTAGGGATGGCACCTGCCATGCTCGTGCTAATGGAGGGGCTATCCTGAAATGTCCCTCCTACGCCGGGGCTGGGAGGCAAGGCTGTCCCTTAGTTACATGCTGGGTGGCGGCATGGGGTGGTGTGCTGCCCCTTCTGGCTGAGGCCACCCTTCTCCCTTTACTCAGGCTGTGGGGACAAAAAGCCGCCCGCCCTGGAGGCGGAAGGCTGCCCCCGCCTCCTGCCCAGATCTGAGCCTGGGAACCAGCCTAGGGCTGGTGCAGCTGCCTCTTTGATGAGTGTTGGGGCAGGAGCAGCCTCCTTGGGTCCACAGTCCTAGGAGGGGTGGGGGAGAACGGTGGAGGGGAGAGTCTGGGCCAGGCCTCCCAGGGATCCCTGGGGCCCTGCTCCCCAGCTGTGACTGACAGGCGGACGCCTGGCAGCCTCAGTAGCTCCTCTCCAGCCACGAGCTTTCCCTAGAGCCCTGAACCAGGCTGCTGGGGGACTCCCCTGGGCCTGGGTGCAGGTGCTCGGGACTAGGACCAGCGTGATGCTTCCCTCCCCGAGTGTGGAACAGGTCACCCAGTGCCACCTCTGGCAGGGGGAGGTGAGGGCTGGCATCGCCGGGTGTAGACGGACTGAGGCTTGGAGGGTGACTCCTGCAAGGTGACTCGGTGCAGGTGCACAGGACAAGGGCAGGATACTGGATTCCAGGGACCGTCGCCCGCTGTCTGTCCAGGGGACTCTGAATCTCGGAGAAGCGGAGGCCTCTCTGGTGTCCCGGGATCCCTGGGATTAGCTAAAGCCAGGCTTAGCGGAGGCGCCGCTCAGGGCCCTTGGGGGTGGATTGGCACCATCTGCTTCTCCGGTTCCATCCTGGTCACCTTGGAGAGCCGGCTCCTGTCCTGGCCAGCCGCCCAGTCCTCTGTGCTGAGTGCTGGGCTGGTGGCCAAGTCGCACTGGAGTGGGGTGGGCGGGGGAGGCCTAGGGCTGCCTGTGCTCTCCTGGCCGGGTGGAACCAGCATTTTTCGTGGGGCTGGGCTAAGATCAGGTCCTCCCAGGCAGGGCTTTGGGCTCCTTGTCCACGCGACAGGGACCTCGGCAGGAGTGGCGATCTGTAACGCCCCAGCCATGCTGATGGTGTGGAGGGGGAGGCCCTGGGAATAAGACTGGGCTCCTCCCACTTCTGCCAGGCCAGTCCAGGGCGTCTTCCCTGGAGATGGCTCCTTTCCGGTCTCTGCCCTTCTAATACCCGCGGAACCCTTGCTCCGTATCTCCAACTGCAGGCTTCAGTCCCTGGTGCCATTCTGCCTTGTCCAGCCTGCCCCGCTCTGGAGCCCTGCTTAGGGATAGCTGTCACCGCGTCCCAGGGCAGCAGGCCTCAGTGCTCATTTTCCCAGCACCTGTGTGTGTCGCGTTCGCTCTGCTGGACTCTGTGGGTGGAGTCAGGGAAGGCCCCTGTAGGAGCCGCTGTGCTAGAACCTTCTAAAGGCTCTCAAGTCTGCGGTGCAGCCACGGCTGCAAACTACAAGTGCCTTTACACCCAGAACAGCTGGGGTCCAGAGAGGGAGCAGGTCCTGCCCCAGGTCACACAGCAAACCGTCTACATGCCGGAGCACTCTGCGGGGAGCAGGATGAACCTGCTCATTACCGCTCAGTGCAGGGCAGAGCTGAGTGTGAAGCCAGAGGTCTTGGCACAGGGCCGGACTGCGGGGACTTGGGTCCTGCTGTCGCCCTTTGCCGGCCGCCGCCTGCAGCGGCTCCCTTGGCTGCCCGAGGCCTTGGCTGTGCTCTGTGGAGGCTCCTGGGGCTGCCATGAAGGTGCCCGGGCACCCAGCACTGGCCACTGCTTGCTCTGCAGGGCCCGACACACACAGACCTGAGCCAGCAGGTACAGAATAAACTTTACTCTCTCTCGGGGCGGGGAGCGGGCAGGGGCTAGCTGGGCTGTGTCCTGGGGGGCGTCACGGAGCCGTGCACGCGCACACGGTACAGGCAGGTGAAGCGGGGGTTCCCCCAGTTGCTGGAGATCTTCACCTTGACGGAGCCGAAGGCCCGGGGCGGCTGGTTCTGGGTGAGATGATCGTATGCTGAGCAGCTCACCTGTAGGCCCACAGCTGCCCGGCGCGGGGGACGGGGTGGGGGGAGCAAGAACCAGGGAGGGGAGTGGACTCTTGCGAGGCCACGCATCAAGCAGATCCCCAGGGGCTGAGGCCCAAAGGACAGGCAGAAGGTGGCTGGGATCCTGCAAGAGCCACCATTCCTCCCTGGTCCTGCTTCCCTGGGCTGCAGGGGGCCCACAGCTTCCAGGCGCCTGGTGCGCAGGGATGCTCCGGCGCCCGGCGCCGCGCCCCTTGGAGGCTGGAGCTGGTGTTCAGATGTTACTTGCCCTTGGCCTTCCCAGGGATTCCAGAAGGGGAGACTGACACCAGAGAGGTGGGGAATGACCCCAGATCACAGCGTGTAGTTGGGCTGGTCTGGGTCCGGGGCACTTGTGCTGTCAGGTCCCATGGCAGCCCCTGTAGCCGCCCCTCCGGGCCCTGCTTGCCCCACTGGTGGTGGAACCAGGCGTGGATCTATGGAGCTGGCCACTCTGGGGCCAGCAGCCCTCTCCCATGGCACCTCTTGCTCCGTCCTGCTGTCGGGGGAGGAAACATGACCAGAGGCCCCGGGTATGTGGAGAAAGTGGAGGGCCGCAGAGGCTGGACAGGGCAACTGTGACCTGGCCTCAGCTTGCACACCCGCCAAGAGGGCTAGCAATGACCGCGCGCCTTCTCGGGCCCCTGGGTAAAGCCCGTGCGCACAGGGCATTCAGCAGGCGCTCAGCACAGGCAGCTTTGCTCCAGTACCTGGAGCGGGAACATCTGGATGGTGTTTTCCGGCTGAAACTGGAATGCTCCCAGGAACACCTCCTCCCTGGGGGAGCTCTCCATGCCCTGTGCAGCCGGAACCAAGGAGAGGGTGTCAGACACAGGCAGGGCAAGGCTTCCACACCTCCCGGGACGGGGAGCTCCTCACTTGGCAGCACTGTCTCATTGCAGTGCAGTACCGTGGAGAGGAAGGGGCTCTGGCCAGGCGGGCAGAGGCTGGGGCCTTCTAACCCCACCTTAGACTTGTGGGACCAGGGGTCCCCCAGCCCCCCTCTGGGCCTCATCTTACTGGGGGGTCTAGATCCTTCTTGGGACCCTCTTGGCCACGTGCACACTCAGTGGCCCCGACCACGCTCTCAGCTCAGATGCAAGCAGAGAAGGTGTTTGCCCCTCCCCTGAAGACTGAGCCTGACCCCCACCCCCCGACCCCCCGAGCCCTCGCCAAGCCTTGTCCGGGCCCTAATCCTGCAGGAGCTGTGCAGGTGCCATTGGTCACCAGGCCTGGGACACCAGCGATACAAACTGTCCCTTGAGGCCAGTGTCGCCCCTGGCCGGGGCGTGCTCACGTAGATGACGAAGTCCTTGGGCGCGGTGTCCAGGCTGCCGGACAGCGAGATGGTCTTGGGGATGTGCTGCAGCGTGAGGTTGGACAAGTAGACCTTCTGGGCCAGCCGGATGGTCACCTGGCCACGGTCACCCACGAAGGCCCAGCAGTTGCCAGGTGTCACGTTGGGCTGGGAGAGGCAGGTGCAGCAGGGGTTGGGGGGGCTCCTCACCCCCCCCAGACCCTCCCAGACCCTCCCGGACAAGCAGGTCCTCACTGGCTGCAGAGCTTGGCTTGAGTACCCTCCTCCAGGGAGCCCCTTCAATTGCCTGGGGCAAGCAGGAGACTTCCTTGCAGCCCAGCACAGGGAGTTTGCCTGGGACACCCCAATCCCCACTTCTCCATGTTTGCACTCATTCATTCAGTCACTCACTCATTCATCCCCCACCCTTCTTTCCATGGCCTCACAGTCACCTACACCCTGAGCACCATCTCTCTCTCCATTTTATAGATGCATAAACTGAGGCACAGGGCAGCCCTCGACTGGCCCAGGGCCGGGCAGAGCTGGGTGTGCAACCCAGTTCTGGAACCTTCCATTCATCACCATGAGCTCCTGGAGCAGGCGCTGAGCTTGGAGGGAGCGTGGCCGCTCCTCCCCGGGCACCACAGGTGCTAGGACGGGGGCGCGGGGGCCGTGGGGTCCCGGGAGGCCTCCTGGAGGAGTGGACTCAGCTGGGCATGCACCCAGGGAGCGGCCGGGGGCGGGGGGTCTGAGAAGCTTTCATTCGCGGCTGCCGGCAGGCTTCCCCCCCCTGCCGCAATTAGCCTGGGCCCTGTGGGTCCTCAGCGCCTGCCCCCTGCTGGTGAGCTCAGGAGGCTGTCTCACCCCTGCCAGGCGAGGTCGTGGCCCCAGCCCCACGCAGAGCCCCTCGAGGGCGAGGCCCACAGCCGGCTCACTGCGCGCTGAGGCTCGCGCTCCCCCTCCCCTCCAGGCCTCGGTCCCTCCTCCCTGAGGCAGGATTCTGCAGTATTGAGAGCTCAGGGCTGCAGTGAGTGACCTGGCTGCTCGAGCCTCAGTTTCCTCCTCTGCAAAATGGGTCTGTGAAGGGCCCAGCCCCAGCGAGGGCCTCAGTGTTTCCTGACCCTGCGTTCTCCATGCCGGTGCCAGCTGTTCCTGTGCCCTGCTCCTTCCCCTGCCCCAGAGCACCCCCCCCACCTGTCCCTGCCCCCTCCCGCCCCGACACCTTGCCCTTGCCCTTGCCCTTGCCCTGTCTCTATCTCCTTCTTTAACCCACCCCAGGCCCCGCCCTGGACCTCTGCCCCGGCGCCCCGCGGCCCCTGCCTCGAGGATCACGTCCGGGGGCTGCGCGTAGTTCCAGAGGCGGATCCAGTTCCAGTAGGAGCGAGCCTTGTCGTGGTTGTAGGTGGCCGACGTGTGCTCAAAGTCGATGCTGGCCCCTGGGGGGAGTGGGGTTCTCAGTCTCTGCCTGGAACTCACTGACGGGGACAGTAACAATGACAGCAAGGGTAGCTGGACTCGCGATGCAGGGGGACCCGGTGAGGCCCAGGGTCCCCAGGGAGGGGCCGATGCTCTCTGACGGCTCATCTGGTGGCACCTGGCGGGGCCCAGTTTGCCCGGATGGCCCTGCAGTGCCCTGCCTCAGCAGTGCCTCCCTGGCTCAGGCCGGGCCGCCCTCCTCCTGGCACCTCCCACATTCACTCTGTTGCCCTTGTCACCAGGTCTCCGCCTCAATATCCTCTCCACCAGAGGTCCCTCCATCCCAGCCACCTGCTGGGCTCCCAGCTGGGGGCAGGACACTGCATCCTGCTGGCCCGCGTGTGCCCAGTGCTGTATGGGGACGCCCGTGGATCCCTGCTCCCTGGCCTTTCCCGACCCCGTGACAGGCCAGCAAGAAAACCAGCAGGGATGGGGCTGGCGCTGTGGCGTAGCGGGTGAAGCTGCCACCTGCAGCGCTGGCATCCCGTGTGAGCACCAGCCCAAGGCCCCAGTCCAGCTCCCTGCTAATGCACCTGGGAAGGCATCGGAAGATGGCCCAAGTGCCTGAGCCCCTGCACCCACATAGGAGACCAGGATGAAGCTCCTGGCTCCTGGCTTTGGACTGGCCCAGCCCTGGCCTTTGGGGCCCTCTGGGGAGTGAGCCAGCAGATGGAAGGCCTCTCTCTCTCTCTCTCTCTGTAACTCTGACTTTCAAATAAGTAAATAGATCTTTAAAGGCGGGGGGGGAGCAGCTGGCGCTGTGGCATAGTGGGTTAAAGCCCTGGCCTGAAGCGCTGGCATCCCATATGGATGTCGGTTCTAGTTCCTGCTGCTCCTCTTCCAGTCCAGCTCTGCTGTGGCCTGGGAAAGCAGTGGAGGATGGCCAAGGCCTTGGGCCCCTCACCCACGTGGGAGACCCAGAAGAAGCTCCTGGCTTTGGATCGGCACAGCTCCGGCCATTGCGACTATCTAGGGAGTGAACCTCCCTAGATGGAAGTGGATGGAAGATTCTCTCTCTCTCTCTCTAACTCTGTCTTTCAAATAAATAAAATAAATATTTAAAAAAATAAAAAAGAAAGAAAGAAAAGGAAAACGAGAGGAGAGGAGGGGAGCAGGGTGCCGCGCCGGCCCCACGGCCCTGCGTGAGGACGCAGGGGCGTCACTGACCTATGGACTTCAGGGCGAAGTCTGGCTTCTCAATGTAGTCTCCTTGGATCATCTTCAGGATTTTCTGGGTCATTTTTTGCTGAGGAGGCAAACAGCACAAGCTGTGCCCGGGTGCACTCCTGCCCCGCCAATTAGCCCTGCCTGCGGGAGCCCGGGGCTGGCTCCACCCGTGACCGGCTGTACCTGTGCTGTGAGGGGTTCCAAGCAGCACACAGCCCCAGGCCTCACCCCAGGCCCCACCCCAGGCGTGCCCAGATGTTCCAAGCATTCCCTGGGGAGCGGCAGTTGCTTGCTGCTGACCCAGCAGGACCCAGAGCTGTCATGGATCCTGCCCTTGGGTGGAGCTGGTCAAGCAGCAGGAGCTCCCCCCCCCACCCCCATGGAGCTCCTGGCTCCAGGCTGCAGCCTGGCTCAGCCCCCAGCTGTTGTGGCCATTTAGGAAGTGAATCGGTGGAAGGAAGAGTTCTCCCCCAACCGCTACCCTGGTCACTCTGCTTTTCAAAATAAATAAATAAATCATTTTAAAAATAAGCTATCAGTTGTATAGAAGTCCAGAAAACACTAGAAAATTACTAGACAAGAGGCGGCAAGACCATGTGATTGACATTGAAGAGAAAAAACAAAAGGAGGGGGCTGGCACTGTGGCACAGTGGGTTAAGGACCCAGCCTACTGCGCTGGCATCCTATTGTGGGCGCTGGTTCGAGTCCCAGCTGCTCCTCTTCCAATGCAGCTCTCTGCGATGGCCTGAAAAATCAGTAGAAGATGGCCCAAGTCCTTGGGACCCTGCACCCGCATGGAGACCTGCAAGAAGCTCCTGG